CTCATGCGGAAGTGGCTTTAGCTTCTCAGTGCTGTGCTTTAACCCGCTGCGCCTCCAGGGAGGGCCCTTTTTTTTTTTTTACATTATTCTTCATTTTTGTACATTTTTTCATCTCGGCTGTAATCTCCGTAGACTTCCCACAATCACTTCACCCCGGTGCCATCACTACAGTCTTGAGTGCTCTTACTCCCCCAGTTTTGATCCTGTTCCTTCTCCTCCCCCATAGAATGTCTCTGATTTATAGTTGCTAGTTGGTTTTAGAAAAACATGCACAAGTGAATGGTAGAAGAATCAGGTATCAAATATGGAATTTTACATTTTCAGAAAAGAAAATAAGAATTTATGACTTTAAAATAATCATTTTAGGGGTCAATAAAATAATGTAAGAATCATGTTTCTTAATAGTGCTCAGCTCCTATAAGCTATAATCAAAGTTACAGCATGACCTATTATTTTGACATATTTAAACTTTTGGATCATTAAAATGTTTGCAAGTGTTGTATTTACAGAAGTGTCTTACTACTGCTTTTCAGTTTAACAAATTACCAGACATTTCATCCTTTTTGTTATATACACACATGCACACATGCTGTTCATATTAAAGTATAAGCAACAGAACAGCAAGAAAAATGCCAGTGAGCTAAAACTTTGTAGCTTTAATAAATGAAGACTATATTGATGATTAGCATCCCATTGTTTGAATATATATTACAAATATATCTTCTGTTGCCCATTTTCATATGCATATGGTGTTGTACACTTTGCAGAATTAAACAGGGTCATAAGATAAGAGATTCAGTTTAATGTATAAATATATATGTATGTATGTAAATGTATATATACCAGTATGTATGTAAATGTATATATACCTGTATATATTTGAAGGAGCTTTAATATATATTAAACATTTTTCTAATTCAAAATAAGTTACAAAAATATAAAAAGTTCATATATATACAGCTGCAGCTTCTCTCAATGATGAAATGTTACATAATTATAATAATTTATCAAAACAAGGGAATTGGCAATGGCAGAAAACAACTAACCAAAGTATAGACTTATTCATACTGCACCATATTTTTATATGCACTCATGTTTCATTGGTATATAGTTTTATGATGTGTTACCACATGTATGAATTCAAATAATATTTGTATATTTTTTTACAAAGAAACTATTTTAAATAGGATAATAAATAGTAAATACGCCAATTTTACAAATAATTGGACTAATTTATTAAAGCTTGTTAAGTCTCATTTTTTTTTAAAGATTTATTTATTTATTCATACAGAGCTGGGGTACAGGCCAGCGATGTAGAGGGTGAGAGGATCCACCAGGGACAGAGTGGGGAGCAGAACAGGCAGATCAACAAAGTACACTGATGAGGGGAGCAGCGGGCGGGGTCAGGAGAGGTCTGCCACGCCATGTGGTCACCTCTGGAGCAGGCGGGGATCGAACTCATGCATAAGTGGCTTAAGCTTCTTAGTGCAGTGCTTTAACCCGCTGTGCCACCAGGGAGGACCTAAGTCTCATTTTTATATGTTCTTTTGAAGGTTTTTGGACTTGAGAGAACATAGGATAAAATTAATTAATATTGCAAGTTTACCATATTTAAAGACTTGATTATTTTGGCATACACATCAACAAATGTCTCATATAAATAATTTTATTTTTATGTATTCATCATAAGGGATTATTGTGAAGATAGAATAGATAAATGATGGCAACACATTTTCTGACACTCTTGAAAGGCAAGCTCTGTTTCCCTGCCCCCTGAATCCAGGCATAGCCTATTACTGTTTGACCAATAAAATATGGCAGCTGCAGGCCCTCCCCGGTGGCGTAGCAGGTTAAAGCACAGCACTAAGAAGCTAAAGCCACTTCAGCATGAGTTCGATCCCTGCCTGCCCTGGAGGTGACCACATGGCGCGGCAGACCTCTCCTGACCCGACTGCTGCTCCCCTCAGCAGTGTACTTCATCAGTCGATCATTCTGCTCCTCACTCTGTCTCTGGTGAATCCTCTCATTGCCTCTGCACCTCTGGCCTGTACCCCAGAAATAGATAGATAGATAGATAGATAGATAGATAGATAGATAGATAGATAGATAGATAGATATGCATAAATAAATAAATCTTTAAGAAAACATATGGCAGCTGCAATCATATATATCAGTATCTGGGCCGAGACATCAAGACATGAAAGAGCTGGAAACTGGCTATTCCCCACCGCTGGAACACCTGCTCTGGAATCCAGTGTCCGTCCACCTTGTGAAATGCTACAGGCATGATTCCAGCTAGGCCCCATGTGGAGGAAGCAGGGCTACCAGCCAAAAAAAGCCTTGGCTGATGTCCCAGTCAAGCACTGGTATTTGACTAAGCAAGTTAAAATATCAATATGAAGGGACTTTTTTGGTAAGACTTAATGTGATGCCAGTGGTTAACCATCACTTTCCTTTCTGTTGTATTCATATTAATAATGACAGCTAAGATAAGAAGGAAAACTTCCCGCAATCTATGATGTGCAGCACATAGTTTCACATCTGCTCACCATGTGTATATGTGGCTGAGTCAGTGGAGAAGCATATATATCAGGCTGCTCAAGTCCTCCACGTGATAACAAATTGATTAGGAATAAGTCAAGCCCTCTTAGCACTGTCTAAGTGGCAAATGAGTAAAATAAATGGCTGTCCTTTGTTCAAAGGCACTAAAGTTGATTAGTGATGCAACTATAACAATATAAACCCGAATTAAACAGATTTATTTTCAAATGCGTAAGAGACCTGTGGGAGGAGGGTGGTGGGTGCCTTATAAGTCCAATAGTATATTTTGGGGAAAAAAATGTTTTAAAGATTTATTTATTTATGCATACAGAACTGGGGTACAGGCCTGAGATTCAGGGGTGGTGAGACACTTCATCAGAGACAAGGTGGGGAGCAGAACAGGTAGATCGATGAAGTATACTCTGAGGGGAGCAGCAGGCAGGTCAGGAGAGGTCTGCCTGCCATGTGGTCGCCTCCCGGGCAGGCAGGGATCGAACTCACGCTGAAGTGGCTTTAGCTTCTTAGTGGTGTGCTTTAACCCGCTGCACCACCAGGGAGGGTGAAAAAAAAAAAACTTTTTTAATAATACATTCATATT